AAGTTTCAATTTTGTTTACTTTGATTAAAATTTTTATTATCAAAGAGAGAAAAAGCGTGAGAGGGAGAGAGAGAAGGAGAAAGAGAGGTGAAAAGACAAAAAGTTGACATTTTAGGATAAAAAAAACTTTAAAAAAAAAACCTCCTACAATAAGTTAAGCTATTATTGTAAGAGCAAAATAATGATCTAATAGAAATCTCTATTATCTAATAAAAAAAAAAGAAATTTGATAGATCTAATAAAAAAGAAAATACAATTCAATTTGAATAATTTAAATAATATTTAAGATGAGAGTAGGAAGCATTTTGAATTTGCTAAAATTTAATTTAATTTTATGAATTAATCAATTTAATTAGTAATAGTAACAATTTTTTTAGTCGAATTATTTCCCTAAAATTTTCAATGATTATCAATGCAAATATCATTTAAATGACTAAAAGCTTATTAAAAATTAATGCCATTTTCATAAGCTAATAAGCTAATCTAAAATCAATACTTAATTAATACTTAACTTTCTAAAGTAATCAATATTTGATAATACTTAAATTAATAATTGAGTGATTCTGATTTATCGCTCATCCTTGAATCATAACTCTTTGAAAGTATATTAAAAGTATTTAACTTTTTTTTTTTTAAAAAAAAAATTTCATCTCAAATACAAGAAACTTTGGGAATCTAAACGAACGATTATTTTTCATTTTCAATGAAATTCAAATTAGCTAACATTACAGTTTTGTTTGTTTCTAAGTTTACATTTCATTTCACATTATAATAAAATTTTTAAAAATGCTTTTATGAAAATTTTGATAATATAAAAAAATTTATTGGATTAAAAATTTATTTTTGAAAAAGTTTATTTAGAAAATTTTGATAAGTTTATTTGGAAATTTTGATAAATTTATTTTAAATTTATTTTGATAAAATTCATTTTAAATTTACCTCGATATCATTTGTTTAGGTGAAAGAGCAATTTTCCGGCATAAATCGTTTTCAAACATTTAAATTAATTTTTTTTTTCTTAAATATAAATCCAACTAATTAATCACATTTAAGCTTAGGCTTAGGTTTAGCTTAGGCTTAGGTTTAGGCTTAGGTTTAGGTTTAGGCTTAGGTTTAAGTTAGACTTGGGCTACGTCAACAAATTATGTGGATCGACGCATATCTAAGAAATTGCTAAAAAATACTTCATTTGAACTTTTTATTTTTGCGCAATTTGATTAGAACAAATTGAAAACTTTCATTTGCATTTGACAATGTCCAAATTTTTTTTCCATTTCGATTAATTTCGATTATTTAAACTTAGTTTGAAGCGATGTATGCTAGCAGCAAATATCGTTGTAATTCATTTTTTGCAATTTTTTAAAAGCCTAAAAATGAACTGAAATAATTTGCAATTTTTAAAAATTACTGTTTAGATGATAACATTTTGATATAAAATGATAAATAAAAAGTATGAAATAAAAGTTAGCTAACTTAAAAAAAAAAACTTCCAAAGTAATAGCAACTATTTAAATATTACGAAAGATTTTCATGAAATTATTGGTTTAACTAACTTTTACTTTTATTTTTTGTATATTTTAAATCAATGCTTGTTTTTTTTTTTTTTTTTTTTTTTAAATTATCATTTTATATTATAAATGAATTGCACACATTCCTATTTTATTATTTAGGTGATAGAAAAAAAAAAAATGCATTTAAAAAAAATGCATTCTTTTAACTACGAAATTTAAAAATAGTTGAATTTAAATCAATCGCTATATGGCAAATTTTTTTTTTAAAAAGTAGAAACGATTTAAAGTTGTCGGTGCTAATTTGCATATCTATTTATTTGTCATTTTATTGTTTGCTTCTTGAATGTTCCTTTCATTTAGAACAAAATAACTTAGAAAAAATAAACTTATACTTATTTACCTTTCTAAAATATTATTTAGGTTAGAAATTATTCCATATTGTTGGTGGTAAAGTTTGTTGAGTATTATTACTTATGCAGGAATTATAATTGAGTTATGAGTTTAATTTGTTTTAGCATTTTATGAAATTTATAAATCATTGAATGAATTTAGTTTCAAATGTCACAAAAGGTATCTCAGGTAAAATTTATTATTACGAATAATACCCTCAAAAAATGTGCAAAAAATATGAATATTATTGAAGAGGAATTTATTAGCAATTTGACGTTGAAAAAATTTAATTAAATTAATTAGTTATATCTTAAATGGTAAATTTTTATAATTACTCTAATCTCAACTAAAAATTGACAAATATTATCGAAAATGCAATTATTAGTCTTATTATTTTTTTTTTTTGATTATTGAAAAAAAAATGGGATAGCAAGTGGTTCTTACTTAAACTTAGAATAAAATTTAAAAAATCCATTTAAATTTATAGGATCATTTTATATTATTTTTCATCCTATTGTTTGTTTCCTAAATGTTCCTTTCATTTTGAACAAAATACCTTAAAAAAAAATAAACTTATACTTATTTAATTAAATCAAATTATTGTGATAATAAAAATTACTTGTAAAAATGACCAATGATCGATGTGTTTTTAATTTTTTAATTAACTTTTGAGAAATTTAATTTCAAATTTTGAGTAAATTTCATTTCATTTGTTATATAGTTAAGCAATTATAAATTTAAAATGACATTGTCATAGCCAAGTTTGATGCAAAAGTTAAATTTTATCTTTTTTTTTTTTTTTTTTTTGTTTTCTAAAGATTTAGATGAAAAAATGCTGTATTTCATAGATAGAGCATGAAACTTTTTTAAAATAACTTCTACCATTTAACTTTTATCATTTATAAAAGTATAAAAACTTGTTGAAGAATTAATTGAAATAAATTTTTATTTTTATTTTTTAAATATTTTTCTTTTAAAAAACATTTGTTTATTTTATAATTATTTTAATTGAATGATAAGATAGATGTTGTACTAATTTTTTGTTAAAAATTTGTTTAATTCTTAAACATTTCAGTTAAATGATAAAATGTTGTACCATTATTTTTGTACTATGATTAAATTTAATGCTAAAGATTAAATTACTACTAATTAGCCACCTGTTTACCTTCTATGAAATCATTTAATTTTTTGTTTACATTTATAAATCATAAACATAAATCTTATGCAATAACTGATTGACTGTATTGTAATCTTAGTATGTAACATTTTTCTGTTTACATTTGTCAAAATTTGATATTTTTCATATATTTTCTATAACATAAATACTTTTATTGTATCAGTTGATTAACTTTTTGTTTACTTATTGGCTTATCACTTTGAGTGATAAGCAAATCAGTAAACACAAATGAAACACTAATTGATTCACTAACAATTTACATTTTTAAAAAGTTTTGCACCATAATATTATCGCTTCCTTTGATGTAATTTATGATGCATGCTGCAAGCTGCAAATTGCAAGTTGCAAGCACTTCTTTTTTTTTTTTAATTTATTATTTATTTGATACATTCGTTTTTTCTTCTTTTTTATAGCATTATTTCATTATATATTAATAATTTAGTACCATTTTATATTTTCAATTCAAAATCTAAAAGAGCATAAAAGAGCTTTTCATTTTAATTCTATTTCAATACTAATTTTTAATTTGCAACTTTGTTTTCGATTAAATAATGATTTAGCATCATTAACCTATCAGTGAATAAAATGCATTAATTAATTTATATTATTTGAGTATTTAATTAATTAATTAATTCATCCTATCCTAAAATATGTTGTCTATTTATTATGAGTTATCGTTCAATGTTAAAATACTGAAAATTTTCGATCAAATAATTTCAACTTAAAATTTATACCATTTTTGAGAAAATACAAAACAGTTCCTTGGATTTTTTTAACAATTTCAATTCCAATTCAATTTTTAATACATTTCAAATAATTTATTTTAACAATAAATTAGCTTCTTTTGGACATTTATTATTATAAATAAATTGAAAGGGGAGAGACAGAGAGAGAGGGAGAAAGAGAGAGGGAGGGAAAAAAGTCTTTTCCTGCTTTATAATTCAAAATTTATCATAATTTTAGGACAAGAAAGAAAAAAGAATGAAAGTTTTTTTGGTGACAAAAAAATCTAAACAAAAGATAAATTTTCTTATGACACTAAAAAGAAAGTTTATAATAAACGAGGTGAAGAGAGAGAGAGAGGGAGAGGGAAGGGGAGAGAGAGAAAGAGTTGCTGAGAGTAGAAAAAGCAGGGTAAGAAGGACAAGGCAGGTCAAATTTAATTAATATTACAAAAACTTTACGAATCGTTCATAATCTTCAGAATGTTCCACTTTGCATTCATATTTCATCGTCCTCTAACATTAGTCTTTCGAATTAACTGTAAAATTTGCTATCTTTTCATTAAAATAATTTTTAAATTTAAATTTATATTTTAATTTTTACAAGAAAAAATTTATTTATAGGATGCAAAAAGTTCGCAGTTATAATAAATTCATTTAAATACATTCGAAAGATCAAATGAAAATGCGCTTTATTTAACAATTACAGCATTGAAAATGACATATGAAAATGAATCTGCTACATATAAATGGTAGAATTTATTATACTTTTAAAATTTTAAAAATTTTTTAATTAAAATAAAAAAAAAAGAACAAAAACAAAAGAGAAGAATTATTCAATTATTGATGAAATTTAATTTTTTTGTTTTCTTTTTTTTAAACATCTTAGTATAAGCCATCAAAATATTGGAACACTGTTATCAAATGTCAATTTAAATGCGACAATTGCCACTTTGTTTGGTTCAAACTGTCAAGTAAGAATTTTTTTTATCATAGCATTTTACATATTTCAATTTCATTTCATTTTCATTCAAACATTATTGCAAACATTTATGCTTCATTTATCTAATTTTTATTAATTAAAACTAATTAATGGAATAAAAAAAAAAAAGCACAGAAATTACAAATTAGAAAAATTGATTTTAATATTTACAGATATTAGCAGCAAGCTTTATTGAATTATTGGAAGAAGATTTTGAAATGATAAAATGGAAAAAAATTGCTGATGGTTTAATATGTTTTATTTATGATTTCAATCAAAATGTTACATTTTTGAATTTAATCGAACCAATCTGTCCACAATCAAAATATATCATTCATAAATGGACAATTATTTTGCATGAGTTTTTTTTTTTTTTGTTTTAATTTTAAAAAAATTTTTTTTTTTTTTAAATCTTATTGAAAAATTTCACTTCTCTCTCTCTCTCCCTCTTTTTATTATCGATTGAATTTAATTCATCAATTTTTTTTTTTAAAATTCATTAATTATTTAATTTAATTCATTAATTGGAAAAAATTATTGCAGGAAATCAACAATGATAATTGAAAAGATAAGTGCAAATTTTATAGTATTATATGCAGATGATAATAAAATTTATGGTATGAATTTTTGCTTAAAAATTGAAGCAGAAAATTTTTATCAAATGTTACTCACAATTCGATCATATTTTTCATCAGAATTTGGTATGTTTCATTGATATATTTTTTTAATTTTTCAATTTCCTTTTTTTTTTTTTATTGAAAAAAAAATGCAAAAAAGAAAAACAAACAAATAATTAAAAAATTTTTTCTTTTAATTCAAAATAACTTATTTTTTTTTATTTATTTATTTAATTTATTTAGAAAGTAAATGGAAATGTAAAAATATGGATGATTTATTGGATATGCAATCATTTTCCACCGAAAGCTTTTCAATTAAAAGCATTAATGTAAAAATAAAATTTATATTTCTAAAGTTTCTTTTTTTTTTTTGAATTTTATCAAATTTTATTGAAATTATTAATTGTTTAACACTTTTTACATTGTTTTCTCATAATTCTGTTATTTTTTTTTTGGAAAATTTTATTATTTTATTTAATATTAAATGTTTTTTATAATTTTTTACAAATTTTAATAAATATATTAATATTAAATTAATCATACATTTTTAGCATCATAATTGGAATAAATTATCATTAATAATGAAATTTTTGAGAAAACTCAAACATATATTTGCTGGTAATTTTTGTTTATTACAAAAATTTAACTTTTTTTTTTCAATAATTTTTTTTTTTGTTATTTAATTTATGCAAATTTCATCGAAACTATTTTCTACAAAATTTATATATAATACAAAGAGTTGAATGATCTTTTTTTTTTTCTTCAAATAGTTTTTTTTTTCTTTCATACAATACTGAATAAATTAATATTTGAAAAAAATTAATAATTTTAAAAAGAGAAAAAAAGTAATTAATAAAATAGAAAAATTTCTTTTATAATTAATAACCATTGAATATTATTAAAATATAATCTTAAATTATGAATTTATGTTGTTTTGTTGATGGAACAAAAAGAGTAAAACGTATTGAAATCAGTGAACCAGTAAATTTTGAGTAAGTTTTATTGTTTTCATTCTTTTTTTTTTAAATTGAAATGATTGAATAAATGAGATAGAATTTAATTAAATTTTTAAATTAGTTAAATTTAAAAAAAAATGGAAAAGAAGTGATAAAATGAAAGAATATAATCATTAAAGGTTCTTATAAATTTTTAAATTTTTTATTTTTATTTTTCATATTTTACAGACATAAAATTCATATTGGATTGGATTCAATACATGGATTTGATGAAAATAATGATGAATTATTGAAAGAAATTTTTCGAGAAGCACAATCACTCATTGCTAATTATTTTCAACAAAAATTAATAGCAAAAGAATGGTATTTGGTAAATATTTGATATTTGTTCTAATTTTATTTTTTATACAAAAATTCTAATATTTCAATAATATCTATTAAAAATAACAATTAAATTCAATATTTTTCTCTTTCCTTACCTTTTTTAATATTTAATATATGCATTATTAAGTCTATTAAATTAAATTTATTGAAAAAAAAAGAAAGAAATTTCTTATAAAATATTTTTAGGCAAGAAAAGATGAATGGAAATTAATCAAACAACAACGTAGTTTAAACAATACAATGGATAGCATGTAATGAATTTTCATTCTAATAATTTATTAATAATATCATAATTAAAAAATAGTTATAAAAATGAAATAATAATTTCACCTTTAACCTTTCCTTTTTTTTTATTTTCAGACGTCTTCGATGTAACAAACAATCAAGACCAACTTTAAATATTGTCAAATATTTTGATCAAGTTAAGGTATTTCTCGTCATTTCCACATGTATTGTTAAAATTTTAAAATAATAGAAAGAATTGTATTTTAAATGAATGCAAAAGATTTTGCAGCAGTTTCTTTAATTCTGATATTTTATTAAAATATTTAACTAAGATAGCATTTAAATTCTAATATTTTTAAAATTTTACATTCCAGCTATATTAATAATTTTTTTTTTTTTTTGTTGGGGTTTTTTTATCAATTTAGGAATATTTTAACCAATTTATGATAAGTTACTACAGAAAATGAATCATCTAAAAGATAAAACTCTCCAAGAATATTACTACGAAAGTGAAAGAAAGCAAATAAAATGTACAATGAACTGTAGCAAGGAATTCAACAACGATAGTAATAGCTGATCAGAATAAATATTTTAAAGGTAAGTAATAACTAATTAACTGTTCCTTTGCATCAATCCTTTAATTTTAATAATAAATTAGGTAGGATGAAAATTCCTTAAACCAATAATAGGTTGATTCTTTTTGGAAAATGAAAGAAAGTTAAATTTAATCTCAATTCTAGTCTTTAACAATAACAGTCTTGTGTACATGTTTTTTTTTTTCTCGAATTCAATTCTTGCCCCTATTTTTATAGAGAAACAATAAAAATAACAATGAAGAGGATTAATAGTATTCTGAAAAGGAGAAAAAAGAGAAAGAAAACATTGCTGAAAAACTCCCGTAATAATTGTTTATCAACTATTAATAAACATCATACATATCCGTATAATGTTTGTTGTTTGTTTGTTTTTTTCTTACAATGATGAAGAAATAAAAGAAGAGTTTTAAACAACTGAAAGACATTGAAGAAATATTTTTGCAGAAAATTTTTGTGCCATATGATTTAAATTGTAAATATAAATGCTTCATCATAATTATAAATGAACATATACCTCCCTCTTTCTCGAATGTGAAACATCTATCATCTAAAATTTACTTTTACAAAAACGTCTAATCTAATTTAATATCTTCGGAAAACTATCGATAAATTATGCCAGTGTGTAAAATATAACAAATAATCTGAAAGAGTACGAGTATTAAAAAGACGACAATATTATCGAATCATACAGCAATTTAAGAAACCAGTTCTTCATGTTTAGAAAATGAGAGCAAACTAACAAATTTTTAGGAAACCTTAGCAATGCAAATATCACATATTTAATTCTAACTTATTTACACTTCATTAAAAAGACAAAGGTAAGTTAATCACAGAACAAAAATACCAATCTAATCAATGATAATAATAAAACTAAAACTAAGCACAAATAACAATAAGCTTCCACTATGGAATGCATAATCCCAATGAGAGAGCCCCTACAAAATGTCTGTATGTAAATTAAAAAGAAATCCACTAGTAGTCCATTTTGCTTGTTTCTCAGTCGCGATGGACCTGCTAATTCATTCTATGCCATTTTGGATGTTACCACCATATTTTGTTCTTCCTTCAGTGCTGATTGAAAGTTTCACTACTCAAAAAGATAAAAAAAATATGATAAAAGTAACAATTATCACTTTTATATAACAATATTTATGATTGTCATCATTGATTCTCGCGCATTTCTTAGAATTATTATTTAAAAAAAAAAAAGTATAAATAATAGAGTAATAAGACTAAAATTTTATACCTCAGCATAAGATACTGGAGGCGAAAATGCACTGTTTGGTGATGGAAATAAAGGTTCACCAATTGACATCATCATTGGCACTGGATTCGAAGTTAACTGATACGAGATTTGTGATGACTGTGAGTCCATAATTGGAGGCTGTTGTAATTGTTGTTGAGCATACAATAAATGAGGTGGCGCTACCTGAACAGATAAATATTTTAGTGGTAAAAATGAAATTGTCAAAATAAAGTTAATTTTACATAAACTTACTTATGAATATGCTTACATAAATAAATTTGCTTACACTAATTTCACATAAACAATGCAAATAAAAGTATAACTGATAAGAAAAGCACAAACTCGATATAGTTCCATTGATGACGTAGCAAACTGCGTCTCGTCATTCACGTTAGTCACTCCGGCAGCATCGTAACGATAATCAGTATTGTCCACAACGAGGATCATATTCTTTAACGATTCCGGGATTGATTCTGATAAAAGTTCACTACGATCCGCATGAAGATACTGATTCATATAATCTAGCAAACGTAACCATAACGATCGGAATGATGGCAACAAATTCAAAGGCCTAAAAAAAATTTTTAACCTTAATTTGGCGGCATGAAAACATTTAATAGCCTTTTTACAGTAGTAAAAATGAACTTAGTTTTGGTTAACTACAACACTAACATTGCCCTAACTTTAAATCAGATTGGTGAAAAAGATTCTGATCCATCTTTTCCAAGAATATTTTGTTGATGTTAGCTTCCAAATCCAAAAAGATACGACAAATTTTAATCAGATTTCAAGGTAAAAATTTAAACCAACGTTAAATGATTGAGCAGAATTTTCGAGATAAGTTGTATAACTCGTACTCTTGTCTCCTCCATTCCAATTGGATCCATTGGTGATAAATTTTCGAGCAATTTTTGTAGCAGAGGGAAAAGTATCTCACCAAAACATTCTTCCCATTGTTTGCCTTTCATCACTTGCATTTCCGGTATTAGAAAGGTTCGCTATAAAAATTTGATGAGTTTGTGCTTAAAATTTGTACAATTAAAATACAAAAGACTTACCACAAAGAAATTAAGCGCTTGTGTTCGTACTTGTCGCAATGGTTTTTAGTTTCTAGTTTAAAATACAAAAAAATCTTACAAATTGTAAGATTTTTAAAAAATTCAAAAATTAAATTTTTAATAAAAATTAATTTTAATTGTGAAAATAAATTGGAGCCGTGAGCAATTAAAAATTTTACTAATTTTGCTACTGAAATATTGTTAAAAACTTTAATAATTAAGTTTTTTTTTTAAAGTTTATTTTATTATTATTACTGTGAAGTCGAACAATTTTTCATCAAATCAACATCGATCAATTTTTTATTAAATTCTTGGTTATTTCCACATATGCATAGTAATTACTTCAGATAAGCATTCAAAATTATCAGCTAATAACTTCTTTAGCACAACAATGGAAAATTTGAGAAAGTTATGAAAACATAATAATCATTAATTTTTATTTCTACAAGGAAGGAATAATGGACAAGGAAAAACGAAAATGAGAAAGAGAGAGAGAGAGAGAGAGAGAGAGAGAAAGTAAACAATTAATAATTAAAATGAAAATAAGATAATAACATGGAGAAAAAGACTTAATATTTAATTGCATTAAGTTTAAAAATAAACATTTACTGATATTTAATCATTTAAAAAATTCAAATGTTTAAGAAAATATCAGGTTAAAATAATTTGGTTTGGTATGATATCATAAATGAATGAGAAATTAATTTATGTGAAAAAATTAAAATTTTGAAGGTTGCATGAATTCATTTTCTTGGCAAATTCAATGTATGAATTGCTATTACCTATTTTATCTTCGCTTTTTTTTTTTTTACCAAAAGAAAGAATAGAAAGTTGTATTACTTACTAATATGTTATTAATAGTTTTATTTTTAATAAAATATAAACAATAAACAATACCTTTCTCAATAATTAATAATCACATCAAAATATTGCAACTTAGCTTTAAATGTTAGCAAATAAAATTTTTCAATTAAGGAAAAATATTCTCGTTAATAGGAAAAGCATAAAATGTAATTAACAGGTAGGAGAATGTGAAAAACGATTTTTACATATTTCAGTGGTGGATTTTTCGGATAGTATTCCCAGTGTACAGCCAACATCAAATACCTAAAATATAATATTATTTTGAATTTTTAAAGTTTTAAATTCAGTTTATTAATTTAATTTTGTTTACACCACATATTTGAATGCAGTATAGTTTAAGTTTTGCTTTCGCACCGATCTAAATTAATTCGATTAAATTCAAATTCAATCTAATGTACAATTTAACACCGTGTTATTAATTATACCAATTCAAAGAGTCCAAATATTATTTGATAAATATAACTCATTTGCATTTATATTCAAATAGTACCAATTAAATTGTATAACGATTAAAAAAAAAAAGTAATAATTGAAAATAAATTGTAAACACAGTTTTGAAATAAAATTTTTTCGTCTTTTCTCTTTTTTTGCATTTCGTTTCCTGATATTCATCAATTATATATTTGCTCCATTTTTGATCTTCTTTAATCATTTTAAGGCCAACTTCTATCTTTACCTTTACAATCCTTATCTGACTAAATAATCATTATATTTTTTTTAGATTCGCATACTTCTGGCTAAGTGATAACTAATAAACATTAAAGAAATATATTTTATATAAGATAGTTCAAGCTAAAAAAGCAGCTATGCAGAATAGGAAAAACTCTTTCATATAATAAAACTTCTAGTTTTACTCCATTCACAAATTATTTAAAAAAATAAATCAATCAATCAAATGACCATATAAGATAAACAAAATTTTCAAAATTTAAAAATAAAAAAAAAAAAAAATTGGAAAAACGAAGTAACAAACTTGTTTGACAATATTATTAGCTTCAGTTTGTGTTTTATTCATCAATGTTAGATGTGTTTTTAAAAGTCGAACATTCCATGCAAAATTTTCCACTGCTCGATTAGCTTTTGCACCGTGTAATCCGGCATTTACGCATAGTTGTGATAATTCAGTGTTACATTCGGTGATACGTTTCGTTGCCGTTTCTAACTAAAATTTATTATTCATTCTTATTTCAAACAAATGAATAAAATTTACATCGTTACAGTACTTTTCAATATGATTAATAAGTTGGAATGGTACATATAATAATAATTATTTCAATTTATAAATTTCTCTATGCTTTTTTAATTCTTAAACAAACCTTTGTCAACAATGGATCAGTATTAACTAGTATTTTTGCACAAATATCCAAAAGTTCAGACATTGAATCGAATGTTTTTTGCAGCTCTGCAGGAAATATACCTCGTGTTACGATTATCGGATACTGTAATATTAATTATGGGATACTGTAATAGTAATTATGGGATACTGTAATACTAATTACGGGATACTGTAATACTGATTATCGTATGTACGGCTGAATTTTTAAATGCTGTTGCATATTTGCAAAAAAAAAAATACAGATAAGTTACTTTAAGACAGTAAAAATATATTTTAACAGTAAAAATAAAATATTTCGAAACGTCATATCATGCAGTGTCAACTTGTTGTAGATTTGTATGCAATTTCATCCCAGAACATTTTATTTCTTTGCTTTTGAATAATTAGGAGAGAACTGATTATTATAATTTAGCTAGTCATAAATGATTATAGCGAATTTCTAACATAATTTTTTCTCTAGATGAAGGAAGTAAAAATTGCTGGTGAATTTATCCAAAGTTTTTTTTTATCACTTACAAAAACAACTTCCGTTAAATATGTGCTCGTTTAATTCAATTCAAAATTTTAAATTCCATATTTTTTGTAAAAACTTAAAAACTTTCAAATTTATGTTCATTTAAAACATATTTGCTTAAAAAGTTATTTAAATACGATTAAATCAACTATAACTTTTTGCTAGTGAAAACCCAAATTAAGCATTAAATAAATTTTAGTCCGATTGAAATCATAAATTTGAGATTCAAATTGTTGTTCAATTTATTACATAATTGATGATTTTACTGAATTTTGCATAATTTATACATTTATAAATGTCAAACCTAATTTTATTTCTTGTCAAGTTACAATAGCTTATTAATTAATTAATGTTTAAACTAATTAAAGAACTACTTGTTACTATCTGAATTACCAAATTTTTCAAACTATTTTGAATTGAGTAACGTACAGTTTTCTCATCGCTGCAAATTGCAAAACTTGGCGCACACTCCACAAATTCGGTCGGATCATCAGATCTGTGCGGTGAATGTGGAGGTGATACTATAATGAATTTTTGGTAATCTTGTATTAAATTAATTTCTTAATTAATAGGTTTACTTTTAAAATGCTCACAATACTTGAGCTATCCGATCACACAACTAATACACTTTTTGATTGATTCAAATATTTCAAAACAAATATGAAAAAATTAATTCTCGTCCATCATTAAATTATTATTCCATTTATTTTTCATGCTGTTGATAAATAATTGCAAAACAATTTTTTTTTTTTTCATTTCAAAAATTTGTTCCACAAATTTAGCAAATACACTAATTGAAATATTAAATTTATCATACTTTTAACACTGTTTCTAATTTTTGAAATAATACCTTAAAATAAAATGAAACTAAAAAAAAATTATATTAACAAACTATTCATTGCAGCAGTTTTCGTCCTCGTTAACATAAGTCGTAAACCTTGTCGTATAGTACCAGCCGGTCCAACACCACAATCGTTTCGCCACTTAACCTACAATTTACTAACTTCATTAAAATTTAATTTTTCAAATCAAATAATCAAACAAAATTTTAAAAATATTTCAAATAATGAAATAAGTTCAAAATTTCATTTGTATCCTTATTCATTATCATCCTTCTCCCCCTCCTCCCTACTTGCCCCCCCCGCTTTGTCAAGATAAACTAAACAAACCAATGAAGATTCGAGTATGTTACGCATTTCAATTGATACAGCTAATGGTGCAATCGCTTGCTTGAAATATTCATCCACCGATTTGATGCCAATCGATTTCACGCCCGTAACAATCCGCGTATTTTTGCGCTTCACTGACATTCCGCGCTTTCGTGCTTTCTAAAATTTGAAATGCTTCCGATTAAATTTTAAATAATTTTGAAATTATGCTTAATAACATTGTGCATTAATAAGAAAAGTTAAGCAGAATATTGCATATGACTTTCTTTTTTGATTATTTTATTTTTTTTTTAGGAAATTTCATAGCTAATTAAATAAAAATGAATAAAACAGAAATTATATTTTACAAAAAAATCTAAACAAAACAAAATTTGGTAAAAAATCTCATCCATAATTTATAATTTTTGTATACGCATCAAAAATTATAATTAATTAATAGTGCACTTAGATTTTTTTTTATTGATTCTAGAATTTATTAAATTTTATTAATAATAATAACTACAAAAATATGTAGCATTTAAAACTAAAATTATCACTTCTTCCTGAATATAATGATAATTTCATGATTTAAGCATTCTGATAATAGCATGAAGTTGTGCAAGCTGTTGGTTGCATTTATTTATAATATGATAATTGCTGATAACTCATAAAAGAAATTATATAGGAAACCTGAATAAGAATAATGTATAATTCAAATTTTTTTTTGCTGGAAAAATAAATTAAAGTGAAAAGAGAGAAATAGAATGTTTTAAAATAGAATTTAAAAAGATTGGTTGGGAGTAACAGTCAATAAATGCTTGAAAATCAGAAATCAACATATGTTTTATATTATATTGCAAAATAAAATCCATTCTCGACATTTATTTTTTGTTCAAAATAAGTGTTTAGTGGAACAGTAAATAATATTAATTATTAATAATGACGATAATAAATAATAATAAATAAACAGATAATGATGGTAATAACAACGATAATTGTGATGATAATAGTAATAACGATAATAATAGTAATAATAATTATTATTATTAATAATAACGATAATAAATAAACAGATAATAATGGTAATAATAATGATAATTGTGCTGATAGTGATAATAATAAATAATGATAATAATAATAATAAACAACAATACTAAATAACAGTATTCTCTACTATTAGCGCAACAATACATAAATAATAGTGGCCCTCTGTCCTTGTTCCTCTGTCTTTAAAAAATAAAAAGGAAAATTTTTGGCAGAAGAAAAATAAAAGAAAAACACGGAAAAGTTTGTTCCTTACTTCCTTAAAAATAAAAATAAAAGAAAAAAAAAATGAAAAAAGGCTTGTTCTTCTTTAGAACTTCATTATCAAAACGATGTAAAGATTTTTAAGAAATATGAACTAGCTAGTAATCCCCTTGAGATGATTAAAATTTACCATCTTGCAAATTAGTTTTTCTCTTCACTTCCATTTTAACGATATTTGTTTTGTTCAATGAAAAAAAAAAAATCTAAAAATAAAAGTAAACAACAATTTCAAAAAAAAAAAAAACTCTTCACACTTCAATAGTAATAATATTTCATTTTTTCTTTTTTATTTGAATCGTTTCCATACGAATATAAATTCATATCTATTAAAACTAAAAATCAAACAATGCTTACACTTATAACTAATTTATATTTACTCTGAAAATTTAATTAAAAAGAAGTAATAACAATAATTTTTTTACTAATAATATAAGTACCTAGCATAATAATAATAATATATGTACCTAGCATAATAATATCACAAAAATTTATTTTAAATAAACATATCTAATTTGCATACTTCTTAATTAGAGTCTTTACAACAAAAAGCTTCTTTTATCTCAATTATACCGGTGTTACAGCTAAATTAAGCAAAAGAAATGAGAAATGCAAAACTCTTTATCAGAATCATTGTAATAATATGCAAATTCCAATGACAATTGTAGCAGTCGAATAATACCGAATGGATGGATTAGTACAGTCTAATTATCCTAGCTAATATAATGAAATTTGTTAATTAAAAAAGTAGTAAAAGCAAAATTTTAAATTATTAAAAGATACAACAATTCATAACTGATTAATCAATATTTTCGATAGAGTATGACCATTGATTTGGATCGAAATTATTGATGATTAAAGATAAACAAGAATCTGTGCTCATTTTAACATTATTTACATTTGCATAACATGCAGCAAAAATTTCTTAACTGCATGTCACTAACTTTTCCTGCAATCTTGCAAATGCATGTAACAATTTTGTTCCTCATTCACTTACCACCTGTTTTCATTCCATTTCATTTTCTCATTCTCATAATTACTTGTCACCACTTTACATCACTTACTGCTAAACTTTAGATGAAATATTTTGCCACAATAACTTTTTCTATTTCATATTTTAATTTTACCACTAAAAGTTATAGTAATTAGCAAGTTTTACTAATTAGCTCTGTTAGCAATTATAATTTCATAATTTGAAGAATATATTCTTATGCATTCAGATTTGCTCAATTATTGTAATGTAAAAATTGTATATTAAGAAATTCTTTGTGTAGAAGGAAATAAAAACGGAAAAACTGATTTCATATGTTTCCTCAATTTTTCTTCATCTTTTTTCTATAAAACAAAAGTTATGATAGAAATTTTTGAAAAAAAAAAAAAGATTTTGATGCTCTTGACGTCATAGAGAGAGGAAAAGAAACAATGAAAATAGAAAAGTAAAAAAAAAAAAAAACAAAGAAAAAAGTTGAAATAAGAAAAAATTTCTCAGTCATTTTATTTTGTCCTAAATCAAATCGCTTTGCCATCCATCCATTTATATTCTTTTCAATCTCTTTTATTTCTTGTTTGGCAAAAAAGAACAAAAAAAAAGGGAAAAAGATAGAAGTAAGTATGAAGATTAATTTCTAGTAAAATCTTATCCTCAGAAATTATAATAATAATATAAGTTGATTGCATTCATAATCATAGAAGATAATCATAATTCGAGATTCGAGAGCATCATGCTGATAATTCGAGAGCATCATGCTGATTATCAAGTATTTATAATTTTGAAAATTTCTTAAACAAATGTGAATTTTCAATGATATTATCATCGCAAATTAATAATACTAATTTTTGAGATATTAATCAGTCTCGAATGACATTAATTGTATATCACTGCTAATATCTTTGACACCGGGATTTGATAATGCTCTAAAATTAGTTTTTTTTTTGATGCTTATCCTACAAGTATCATTGTACTGTCGTGAAATTATAGATGAGTCATACATCACATACTTCAAACTAATCTGTTTCATAATGTTTTGTAATTGAAACTTAAATTACATTTAATTTTCTGATTTGAAATTATTAATTACCCCTCCACCATATCGATTTGTCACCGCGACATGCACGAAAAGTGTGCAATTTTCCAATACTTCGCCTTCGTTATTCAATAACGGTACATGACGATAGCCTAAAATTTAGAAAAAAAAAAAAAAAAAGAGAAAGAAAATGATTTTTAATTTTAAAAGTTTATAAAGACAAAATATGATAGTTTTATGAAGTAAAAAGAATGAAAAATTTTTGGAATCACTAATGGTTAAGTAAAATAACAAAGTTATTTAAGTTAATCAGAATGGATAAACATTAATGGCCTAAATTAAGTATTTTAGTTCAGTAAAGTAATAAATAAATAATTAAATTTAATTTTACAGCAAAAAACATTGACTGAAGAAGTGAAGAATAGGTACTAAAAAACGAGAAAGTCATCATTTTAATTAAATTTAGGTATGTCAACAAAAATAACACATATTTTTCTCCTAAAATTGTCACAAAATTCTCTTTCAAAATGAGTCAAAATTATTGAAATTTAAAAGTAAACAAATTATGAATCAACGTGAACAAAGAAGAAAAAAGTAGAGAAAAATTTTTTAAATCTTTTTTGGCATAATTTGTGTGTTCATACAAATATTATCAAATTCTAAATTTACTTCCAAAAAATTTTAGAAGGTGACAAATTAAACCTTCTGGTTATTTATTTACCTTTTTTTTTTCTCTTACATTTTCGAAAACTTAACAAGGTTTGAATGCTTACCATTTTTCAAGCATTCAAAAGGTATAGTGTATTGTCCAATGAAATCATCATCAATGAAGTCATCATCGAGTACGAGAAATCTGATTAATGCCATTTCGGGTACAGTAATTTCAAATTGGAATGATTCATCAAATGCTGGATTAGCACCTAAATGATTTAAAGAAAAAAATTGACAGATGATTTGATGTAAAAAACAATAACAGATTTTTGCAAGAGTTTATCATATTTTTTGTTAAATAAATTTTATAATTTTTTTTTTAATCTTTAGTCAGTAATATCAATTAATTTAGTAAATAGTTTCAAAATTTCTCATTTTATAAAGAGAAAAAGAAAAAAGATGATATCAAATATATTTTGTTAAACTAACTTACCATCATTCTTCACAGTTCTCGTCCTTTCTTCGGTGCAATCAGTAGGGCAACCAAAAATTTCTACTACCACATAAGGATCAGTTGAATTACCTTTTGCTGTCGATCCGCGGGGTCGAGGAAGATGTTGACCAGATAAAATTCGTAAATATAAAATCTGAAAATTCCAATAAAATTGAAAAGAAAAGTTAAAAAAAAAATATTTTTACTCTATTTTCACTTTCTGGTAACAAATGTTGCTACGACAATAATTAATTCAATTTTATTGTACTTGCATTATCTTATTGTTTTATTGCTATAAAATAGTACGCAACAATGAAACATTCCTCTTCTACTATGGACTTTTAGTTGTTTTTATTCAATTAATATTATAAAAAAAAAAACAAAAAAACACTGAATTAAAAAAATAGATTTAGAGAAAAAAAATCTTTTTTGACATGTATGAATTTTGCTGTAAAATTTTTACATTTTCAAACTATTCAGTGATAAAATCAGTGATAAACCTGTGGTGGAATCGGCATAATATCTCCAGGTGTATACACTTCTTCACGCATTATCGATGGTTTAAGAACATAACCACATCCACCGTTTTCCGAGAATTTCCCTTGCTAAATAAATATTTATTAACTTTAATAACAATGTTATTATTTGCGTAGTAATCATTTACATAACGTTTTACTTATCGTTATTCATTAATGCTACTTTATATATATAATTAAATAAATATAATTGAAATATTTGCTTAACAAAGATTTAATTTTTAAAAAGATAAAAAGAAGCCTGTAAATCCATCATAAGTCCCAATGTTTGATAATTTAATGATACCATTTGAATACCATAATTCCAGAATTCTTGTGGGTTCATATTTGATGAATCAATGCTAAGAAAATTAAATACTGCATTAATTATTAAATGCTTGAAGCAATTTTCGTTTTTTTGCAAGGATTAAAACCAAATATGATTTCCAAAAAAAGACAGTTGAAAATAAAGCAAAACTAATAAAATTTCTTTATAACAGCCATTATAAAAGCGAATGACAATGATTTAATTAATTAATTTTTTTTCTTATTGTTGTGATCAGAATTGAAGTATTCTAAATGCACTAATTAATTAATTAATAAACATTTCACTTTAGCGAGAATTTTTTCCTTTTCGCCTGTACCATTTTCTCAAACTGAATTTTAGCATTGTTATTGCTTGGATAAAAGAAGTATTAATGAAAACAAGTTCAAAATATTATTGTATAAGATTATAAACTTACCGCGATGCATTTGGTGTTAAAAGCATCAGATGGTCTTTGGCAGTTCGAGCTAATTCTGATGGAAAATTTTGTATCATTTTATGACAGTTATGTTCAGATGATAATAAAAGTTGACAATTTTTATTTGCTGTAAATAAATATTACTTATTATCTTAATATGTAATTTTAGTACAGCAATTACAGGTTAATAATTAGTGAAAAATAAATGCCAATAAATGTATGGAAAAATAATGAAAATATATTTGCTGCATCATAATTTTTAAAGAAACAAGTTTGATAATATCAAATAATAACGAAATTAGCTCATACGGTGAGCTACCGTAATCGGGACGGAAAGCATACTGTAGGCACAGTATTCTTAGCTTATAATAAGCTTACGCATGTCAGATGTATTGAGTGGCGTTTCTTTGAATACAGCTGGGATTGCCCATGGACACATTAAATCTGATAATTTACGACAAAAAAGCATTCGTTTAGGACTTTTCGACGCAGAATCAATCGCTTCACCGGATTGCACCTCAAAATTCTCATTTTCTAATGTCACTTCACCAATATCGCTCTCGACTCCCACAAGTTGTTCACCCTAAAAATAATAAATAAAATTACAATAGTAGAAAATTATACAGAAATATTTCTTTTTTCATCATCACAAATTAATCTGTTTGATTGTTCAAACTGAAATAAATACTTTAGAATTTTTGCTAATTTAAACATTGTCTAATACCAAGTTCAATTAAAATTTAATTATGCAAGAAACAACTATTAGAGAAGAAAAATTTTCAAATCAATAGTGATTTTTTTTTCCATATTATTTATTTTCTTTTTTTATACTAAAATTTTTGGAAAATTTTGACAAAATATGAATTAAGCAGCATACGATGAGAATAATTTTCATTTGGAAATCTTTTGGTGTTGGCCGTCGTTCTGTCCAATCAATTGGATCATTATTTGGTTGATATAATTTGTCTCCAAATGTATCATGAAACATATCGACAAGTATCATTTGCCATTCAACATTTAAATGTATTTCTAGTCGTACAAATAATGGATACCTGTAAAATATTGCATCATTTTTACTTAAATTTTACTGAATAAAGAAAGAATTAGCAAAAAATTGAGTCAATAAATTAAAAATGTGATTAAATATGAAATAAAATATAAAATTGCAAATAAAATATGCTAATCAAGGAATAAATTTATTCTACTTTTTATGATTTATCTTGTGATTAAATTTAAAATTTGTTGAGCAGAACTGTGATAATTAATGAATGAAAACTTTATTCTTAATTTAATTATTACAAACTTTATTCTTAATTTAATTATTAGAAAACTTTATTCTTAATTTAATCGAGTGGAATAATTTTGATTAAGCTAATACTTTTAGCATCATTCTGATATAGAGTAATAACTTATTTGTTTTAATCATACAAATTATTACCTGGTCCTTTGAAAAGCCATTTCATTGATAACCTTCAGGACAGTTGATATGGTTAACTTGGAGGTACTACGACGATTATGAACCATCGGTTCTTTTTCATCAGTTCCTGCTATTGGTTCCCAAACATCTACTGCAATAATATAAGCAAAAATTTTTATCAATTAAACTAATCAGTTTACCGAAAAACTATAAAAGAGCAATGTGAAAAACATGCATGTTGCTTTATTTTGAAATAATAATATAATTGTTTAGTTTACTCTAAAATTAATTTTGAGGAGGCAAATATTTTGATTGGAAAATATGAACAACCAGAAAAAGTAAATTTTTAAAAATTAACAATTAGAATTAGATAACTAAAATAGCTAAATGTTAGGTTAGGATTAGTAATTATCATTTTTTTTTTTCTATGCTGATAGTGAATGCTTGTCGTTGAATTTCAAAAATTTTTTTGATTAAAAAATTTCAAACATAAATGTGCATTAATAAAATCTTAATTTAACTGTAATTTTTTTAAACATTTAATATTTATTATGATGCAAACCTTCAATAAATCGACAATTACGACGAAGTGCTTCAATATAACCTTTACAATTTAATGGTTCTTTTAATTGATCATCAGTTAATGATGTATTAAATGATGTTGCAATGAAATAATTGCTAAATGGTTGATTCATTTTTTGGCATACAATTCGATGAGTGCTATCAAATAAGAGATTTTCATCACTGTGAAGATAATTGGTAAAACCTGCAAATTAAATTAAATTAATGGAAGGAAATGTTAGTGCAAGTAAAAATTTCTATTATTTATTTTTTTTTTTTGATAAAATTTGAAACAAATATTTTTTTTTTCTACTTTTTCAAATTTTTTTTAAAAGTTTTGAAAAGCTTTTAACTAATTTGCACAAAAAAAAAAAAAAAAATTTACCATCAATAGTCATATGATTAAGTTCACGTGCTTCTTTACTTGGCTCATATTGTTCAATAATTGATTGACAAATTTTCATTGTTATGCCTAAGAGCTAAAAATATAATTAGTTTTTCATTTCAATGTTAAGTTTTAATTATCATATAATTAATTCAAGTTTATCTTGAATTAATTTTTTTTTTTTTTAAATGATAAGCAATAAATAAAACTCTCATTTTATAAAAATCAAAAAATACAATCGAAAATTTGTTGAATTAATTTTTTGTCTATTCTTCAAACTATAACATAAAGAAAAATGATTGATTTAAGTGCTATCTTAGCAGCGGTAGAAATTTTACTGCTAACATTTTAAAAATTTTATAAATTTTTTTTTTACAAAATAAAATAAACAATAATAACTGAAATTTAAATGTTACAAAAAAATAAATGAATTTCTGAAATTCAACTGCAAATATTTAAATAAAAATTTGTACAAAAAAAAAAAAAAAAAACCAACTCCTTGTTCTGTTTCTAGAAATACTTGAAGATCCTTACAACTTAAATAATCTTTATTAGCATACTGAACCATCAAGAAATATATTTCGGATCTTGTTGCAACGGCCTGTAGCAAAATAGCAAAAATTTTAAATTAAAATTCAATCAATTTTTTTAATTATAAAAATTAACTAATGATTAATTTTTTTTTTTTTTTTAATATTTATCTCAAATCCTATTGTTTTGTTAGCATATTCTCATGAAAGAAAAAGAATTATCTAAAAATTGAACTATAATTTTTTCTAGAACGGAATGATCAGAATAATAGCAATGATAGTTTCAAGATGTTTTAATAGTAATAACTGTAAATAACCTTATAAATTTCAACAAACTGCGAACGAGTAATTTTTCCGCGTTGCGATTCATCTGGATTTAATACACTTGCTTCCTGTAAACATACATATAAGAGATTAATTAATTAATTAATTAAATTTTTCCTTGTATTATAATAATTTAAAATAAATATTTTCAAAAGGAAAATTTACTTTAACTTCATGTTCAACTCGACAAAGTAATGTTCGTGGATTAAGTCGTTTAACTAGTTCTACCGTTTCTTTTTCTGATAAACAACCACATTTTTTGATATCTGCTTCATCAAATACTGATCCCAACCACCTGAATATGTAAACAAATAAATAGTATAGAATAAATTAAATAATCAAGTAATTTTTCATGTGAATTGAAATTTCGTCCCTCTTTTTTTTAATGAATTTTTCATTTTTATTTTTACTTTTTTTATACTTTGGGAAAAAGTTTCAAAAAAAAATATTTTGTGATCGCTTACCTTTCACGAATAGTCGCAAGAGGTCGCGAACCTGATGGTTCTGATTCGCAAATGCCTGCGAAATTAAAACATAAAAAACAATGCAGAATCTTTTTCATTCTCGAATTTTCTTTCAAACACTAACTTCCAATATTATTTCTAAGTAATTGAAATTTAGGAGAAAATTTAACTTTCTAATTTTGACTTTTTTTTTTCATTTTCTGTGCAATGGACTTCCTTTTTTTTCTCGTCATACTAAAAAAAAAAAAAAAAAATAAAAAAAATAAAAAAATTTTTTTTTTAAGTAATAGAATGTCAACTGCCGTAAATTGAAATAATTCCGATATTAAGAAATATAGAAAATCATTTACTTTAACTTATCAAATAATACTTATATATTACTTTACTTATTTCTGTTATCTAAATTCTTTCTAAGTTCATTTATTGATTTGTTTATAAGGAAAAACTTTCAGAAATTTTTTTAAAATAATTATTAAATGTATCGTCAAATGTAACTTATAACAAGTTATTTATACATTTCTTCATCTCATTTTTGCTTTTTCCTTCAATCATTTGATCACATTTTTTATGTTTCTCAGCTATTTTTTTTTACATAAATAATTCATCCATTTTTTTTTCTGCAATACTTAAAATTCCGGCAATTTTTCCAAAAATTTATAATTTTTTGTTTTATCTTTTCAGTTTTAATATTTTGTTATTTCTATGATCTCACACTTTTCTTATCATTATTTTTTATCATAATTCTTTTTTTTTTAAATACTATTTTTTATTTTCTTTCAAAATATTACTAAAATATTATTTTCTATTTTTTTAAGTTTTTTCAAAATATTATTTTTCTAAATATCTTTTCTATGCATATACTTTTATAGAAAGTACTGTAACCTACCAACATGATTGGAAATAAGTGACATCAATCCGGTAATCCAAATTTTAGCAATTTCTGGTGTTTTAGCTATCAAATCTAGGCATTCGTACTGATCACCATGAATTATCGAGAATGCACATTGTTCCTGAAAAAAAAAAAAAAACGGAAATTTTTAAATTTTCGGTTTTTTTTTGGATAATAAACATAATAGAAATAATTTTAATTTCTCATTAATTTGCTAAAGATTTACAAAACATGCGATCAACTTTCCTAATTTAAATATTATTGATTATTTTAATTAAAAAAAAAGAATGGAGAAACTTTAAACATATTATGAACTTTCAATTGTTTGATAAACAAACGGAAGAATTTTTATCAGTAATGGAAAAGGATGAATACAATAATAAATATAATGTAAGTTGAGAAAAAAAATAGTTTTTAGCTACAAATATTAATGATAAGCGTTGCTAACTTTTCGCTGTTGTTGAAACAAGGATGAAAATTTGCAAATTTATAGAATTTCTATTAATATCAATGAATATTTGTGGTAAAATGATAACAGTAGTAAAGTAACAATAGTGATAGTAATAGTAATAATGGTAATGATGATAATGGTAATAATAATAATAGTGGCAATGATGATAACGGTAATAATGATGATAATGATAATAATAGTGGCAATGATGATAATGTAATAATAATGATAATAATAGTGGCAATGATGATAACGGTAATAATGATGATAATGATAATAATAGTGGAAATGATGATAACGGTAATAATGATGATAATGATAATAATAGTGGCAATGATGATAATGGTAATAATAATGATAATAATAGTGGCAATGATGATAACGGTAATAATGATGATAATGATAATAATAGTGGCAATGATGATAATGGTAATAATAATGATAATAATAGTGGCAATGATGATAATGGTAATAATAATGATAATAATAGTGGCAATGATGATAATGGTAATAATAATGATAATAATAGTGGCAATGATGATAATGGTAATAATAATGATAATAATAGTGGCAATGATGATAATGGTAATAATAATGATAATAATAGTGGCAATGATGATAACGGTAATAATAATGATAATAATAGTGGCAATGATGATAATGGTAATAATAATGATAATAATAGTGGCAATGATGATAACGGTAATAATGATGATAATGATAATAATAGTGGAAATGATGATAACGGTAATAATGATGATAATGATAATAATAGTGGCAATGATGATAATGGTAATAATAATGATAATAATAGTGGCAATGATGATAACGGTAATAATGATGATAATGATAATAATAGTGGCAATGATGATAATGGTAATAATAATGATAATAATAGTGGCAATGATGATAATGGTAATAATAATGATAATAATAGTGGCAATGATGATAATGGTAATAATAATGATAATAATAGTGGCAATGATGATAATGGTAATAATAATGATAATAATAGTGGCAATGATGATAATGGTAATAATAATGATAATAATAGTGGCAATGATGATAATGGTAATAATAATGATAATGATAATAATAGTGGAAATGATGATAACGGTAATAATGATGATAATGATAATAATAGTGGCAATGATGATAATGGTAATAATAATGATAATAATAGTGGCAATGATGATAACGGTAATAATGATGATAATGATAATAATAGTGGCAATGATGATAATGGTAATAATAATGATAATAATAGTGGCAATGATGATAATGGTAATAATAATGATAATAATAGTGGCAATGATGATAATGGTAATAATAATGATAATAATAGTGGCAATGATGATAATGGTAATAATAATGATAATAATAGTGGCAATGATGATAATGGTAATAATAATGATAATAATAGTGGCAATGATGATAATGGTAATAATAATGATAATAATAGTGGCAATGATGATAATGGTAATAATAATGATAATAATAGTGGCAATGATGATAACGGTAATAATAATGATAATAATAGTGGCAATGATGATAATGGTAATAATAATGATAATAATAGTGGCAATGATGATAATGGTAATAATAATGATAATAATAGTGGCAATGATGATAATGGTAATAATAATGATAATAATAGTGGCAATGATGATAACGGTAATAATGATGATAATGATAATAATAGTGGAAATGATGATAACGGTAATAATGATGATAATGATAATAATAGTGGCAATGATGATAATGGTAATAATAATGATAATAATAGTGGCAATGATGATAACGGTAATAATGATGATAATGATAATAATAGTGGCAATGATGATAATGGTAATAATAATGATAATAATAGTGGCAATGATGATAATGGTAATAATAATGATAATAATAGTGGCAATGATGATAATGGTAATAATAATGATAATAATAGTGGCAATGATGATAATGGTAATAATAATGATAATAATAGTGGCAATGATGATAATGGTAATAATAATGATAATAATAGTGGCAATGATGATAACGGTAATAATAATGATAATAATAGTGGCAATGATGATAATGGTAATAATAATGATAATAATAGTGGCAATGATGATAATGGTAATAATAATGATAATAATAGTGGCAATGATGATAACGGTAATAATAATGATAATAATAGTGGCAATGATGATAATGGTAATAATAATGATAATAATAGCGGCAATGATGATAATGGTAATAATAATGATAATAATAGTGGCAATGATGATAATGGTAATAATAATGATAATAATAGTGGCAATGATGATAATGGTAATAATAATGATAATAATAGTGGCAATGATGATAATGGTAATAATAATGATAATAATAGTGGCAATGATGATAATGGTAATAATAATGATAATAATAGTGGCAATGATGATAATGGTAATAATAATGATAATAATAGTGGCAATGATGATAATGGTAATAATAATGATAATAATGCCATTCTCTGTGATAATCTATAGTTCTACAGTATAATGTTTTTTTAATCATATTTTATCTTATCAACCTGCATGTCATTAGCATAAGTTTCTGTTGCGCGATGCAATTCGGTATTTCGTCCAATGCGCACTTCTTTGATACTTTCAATAGCTACTGAAATTCACTGATGATTTTAAGGTTCAATCGGATAACTTAAATGCATTTATATTTGATGGAGCGGTAAAAATAATTATACAAATTATGAGACAATCTATTCTTAAGATTTCAATGATTGTGACCTTTGGCTTCTCAAATGAAACTTAACATATCTTCCAAGTGAGCCAATTTTTACAGGCAGAATTGGCGCTTTGGGATAAATCAAATGTTGATTTATTATCTTCCGTTTGTTTTTTTTAAGTGATAAGAATTCTGTTATCAGCTTTTCACGTTATTATCATTATTGTTCATTTAAATATAATAAATAGAATAATATTCCTTTTCAATAATTAGCTGTTAATATCATTTTCAAAATTAATATTATCACTTTTGTATTCATTATTATTGAATTTGAAAGTTTGTCAATTTCCTAACTATTCCATCTCAATAATTAACTCTCAACTAAAAAACCTATAATAAAGTATAATAAATAATAAAGAAATAAAGAGATTATAAATATCCATATTATTATTATCTTCTTTTATCAGTTAATTTAATGATTAAACAGCAAATGATTTGTTTGATATTAAATCTATTAATTTAATTCATTAATTTAAATCACTAAAATATATAACTCTATACTTGAATTGCTAATTTGATCATAATCATAAAAAAGCAAAGTGCAACTTTTAGCTTTATGAGGTTTTTTGTTGGTTGGCGTCCAATGTATGTGTGACAAATTTGAATCTAAAGCAAAAGTTCGACGAAATTGACGGATATTTGTTCGTAATTTGATGAATTCTGTTTCATTTTGCATCATTTGTATACAATCTGACACTAAAATTTTTTATTTAAATATTTTTTTTTTTAGATGAATTTTTTGCTAATAATATTTAAAGGATTCAATATATTTAGATTAGAATAACTGAAGCATATTATATGCCAAATAGACTAAATGTACTAAAGAAATACGTTCAGAATGCATCGTGAAGAAAGTGCGCCATCAAAAGGCGCAATTTGTTGAGATATGTAATAGAGATTTTATTAATTTCATTTGAAGAATCTCACTAAATCATTCTTTGCAATCATTTTTTGTAAATTTTTCTAAATCAAAAAAAAAAAAAAAAAACATTGCTCTGATTATTTGGGTAATAAAAATATGCGCAAAAATTCAAACCGATAATTTAGTCGGAAATACTGAATCAACTAAAACGGATTACACAATTTGTTATTTAGTAATTTTTTTTCAAAAAGAAAAAAAAAGTCGTCGCAAATGTTTCCCTTACCATCGCATATTTTCTTTTCATGTTTTTGTGTACTGAAACTAACAAATTTGGTTTGCGATGAACGATTTCGATTTTCGCGTTTCATTAGCGAACTTCGCAACGGCGACGATTTTCTGAAAATGAAAGATGAAGAAAAAAAAAAAAATTGAAACGTCCAAAAATGCTAATAGAAAATAAATATTTTGGCATAAAAAAAAAGAAAACTCTTCTTAATGGCTTACTAATCAAATTTGTTTTGTTTTTTTTTAATCATCTATTCAGTAATTATTCTAAACTTAATTAATTAATAATTTCTAATTATTTTGAATAAAAGCTTTTTTACGGATTTGTAAGTAACATTTCTATACAAAAAAATATTCAAATATATTTTCTTTAAAAACATTTTTAATAAACTTTAATAAAACATCTGTTTTTTTTTCATACATCAAAACAAAAATTGTCTTTTTTTTTTTTTTTTTTTTAAATTTTATGCGTTATACAATTTTCAGTGATTCATATATTTCTTCTTGCATACAACTTTTATACAATCTTTATATAACTTTTCTGACACGTAATTACTTCTTATATACGTCATAAAAGTATCCGTATGACGACGTGCAATTCTCTATCATTAATCTCGGGTATTTTTTTTTTTTAAATTTAATTGTTTAGAAAAAAGAGGAAATTCTTAGCAACTAGACAAGTTAAAGTAAAAATTTTTATGAAATTTTATTATTATTTTAGTTTTTTTTTTCTCTTCAAATCTATTTGATAACAGAATAATTATAATAGAAGTTGTAATAGAATAATTGTAATAGAAATTTCGACATTATCTAAAAAATTTTTAGGATTTAAATTTTCGATAAAATTTTTAACCTTGAAAAATGTGATATTGCTGTCATGTTTTGTTCATCGGTCGATTTTGTATTGTTATTTTCTAAATTGCTTGCATTTACATTATGTTCTGATTCCATCTCCTGAACATTCACAATTTAAAAGGTATCCTTCATTTTGAAATTTAAATTTAAATCTCAGAAAAAATGCTATGTTGTAATGTGGAAAATAGCAAATCTGAAAAAGTTTATATGGTACTGTATGTGAAATTAATAATTTATAGAATTTAAATAATATTAATGAAATTTATTAGAAATGATAATGTTAGAATTAAAATTAAATACCGAAGAATTTTAGAATTATAGCTTATATATTACAATTTGAATGAATTTTTTTTTATCAATGTTATTAATATTATTAATAATTTATATAATCATACTAATAACATTTATAAATCACAAAATTTTTGCTATGCATTTTTTTTTTTCAAAAATTTTAATACAGAAAATGATAATTACGAATGGATAATGTGCAAAATAAAAGTATTTGAAAATAATTTGAAATGAGGAAAACTTCCATTTGAAAGATTTGAAGATACTAATAAAAAAAAAAGACATAAAAGATTTGATGATAGAAAGTACTCTAATTGGCTAATCGTGAATTATTATCAGTGGGAAAATTACTAATTTTAGATTGAAGAATGAAATAAAAATTAGTTTCATTTAAACTCGTTTAAAACTGAAATTAATTTATTAAATTTTTCGTAGTTTTATTGCGAGACAATTTTCTTTTTTTTCTATTTTATTGAATTTCATCAAAAAAAAAAAAAAAAATTCATTCATTCATTCATTTCAATTGTTAATTCCAGTAGACATTTCAGTAAAATTTTCATTATTAGAATTTCACTAGAATTAATTTATAGGAATGAAATGAAAATTTATTATAAATGAAGTAGAATTTAATGACAATTAAATAAAATTGAATCGATTTTTGTGTTAGCATGTAAGACTAATTAAAAATAAAGAAAAACTATTTTTAGGCTAATTAAAATTTTTCAGATTATACACATATGTTAGAGAGATAGAAAGAAAATATAAGTGCTTTTGGGTATATATATATACATAAATGTAAAGAGAGAAAAAAAGAAATACATAAGAGATAATTGCTATTGATTCGTTAAATTAATTTTGTTTCCTTCAATTGATTATTTAACTGAACTAATTGCAAAAAGTAAAAAAAAAAAACATCTATTCCTAAACATTTTAGTTTTAATCTATTTTCAATTTAAATTTTCGTTTTAATCCGTTTAAATCGTTAAATTAATAAATATTTCTATTCATATCATTATGCTACTACTTTTTGATTAAACCATAAATTAAAATTATAATTCAAATCAAATCAAAAAAAAAAAGAAAAAATGTACAGAAATTTTCCTAAAATTCAAAAGTCCATTTTAACTTTCATTTCCAAATCCTTTTTTTAAAAAAAACTGAATAAAGCATTGGTTTATTTGAAAGCAACAAAACGAAATGCTAGAAAAGAATTAATAAATTATCTAAGAAAGATTCTTCATATCTATATTTTTTTTTTGTACTTTTCAATAATTTGAAAAATTTAATTTACTTTTATTAAGTTCGCTTTATTAAGCTTTTTTATTTGTTGTTTAAATTTACTTTATTAAGTTTTTTTATTTGTTAGAAAGATGAAAAAAAAAGAAAGAAAAGAAAATAAAACTGAAATATTTTCAATATTTTTTACATTAATCAATAAAAGAACAACGTATCATTTTTTTATAGCTTAGTTGAAAAATTCAAGAAAAAAAAAAAAAAATGATGATGAAGAAGAGATTAGAATGAAATTGTGCTTGAATAAGGGAAGAATTGAAATAATTTGAAAAGTTATTCTCGATTGTGACATTTTATCAGTCTTTTTTAATATCTATCATCTCTTTAACATTATCTTTTTCAACTCTTATTATATCATTCTTTCCCATTTTTATTTTTTACTCATTTATCAATTTCTAATATTTTCATTTTTAACAAACCAAAATAAATATATGCAAAAAAAAAAATTGTTTCCTTTTAACTATTAAAAATTTCTTTCTTTTTTTTTTTTTTTGATTAACTGATAAGTGTAAATAAACAACGAAGTTTTTACAACAAATTTTATCATCGATAAATTTTTTTCTAGCAAAAAAAAACAAAATATAAAATAAAAAACGAAAGTAAAATGGCAAGATTTCAATTATTTTTGCAAAAAAAAAAGAGAAATACTAATATTAAGTAAAATAATTACTCAATTTTTCCTTTTGCAACAATTTTTTTAAAAAAAATAAGAAAAAATTTAGAATAAATAAAAAAACTTTATAAAGTATTATCAATAACATTTATTGTTATCACAGCTAGTTTCAGAATTTCTTGCTGATTTTTTTTTTCCATTTGTAAAATAAAAAAAATTTATGATTTCGTTCTTTTCAAGAGATTTTTTTTTTTTGTTTGAATATTTACCGGGGAAATAAACAAATCTGATAAAATATACTAAAACTGTCACATTTATTCAAAATTTATTTTGCAACGAAAAAACGATTTAATGATTTCCTGATTTTAACACTTTTTTCAGTAAATTTTAAAAATTTTGATATTTTTTTTAATCATTTTTTGAGTAGTAATATTCAATCGTTCCAATTAAATTATAATTCAAATTGTTAATAAAAATGGAAATATGTTTCAGGAAATTATTCATTTAAAACAAATTAATTTCAGTCATTTTCAACCAATCATCATCTCATTCATATCTTTAATTTGCACCTATTTTTCCACTAAATTTAATGCATAATATTTAAGACGTACGTCAAAACATTAAAGTAAGAAAGAGTAAAAGTTATCATCGAAGTACTTAATTATCAGTATAAAAAATGATGTATGAATTATTGTGGTGAACGTAAATACATTATTAAGATTATTAAGAAATAATAAACTTACATTTTCAAATTTTCTAGTATTCAGAGCATTAAAGTTAAGATTTATCTTAATTAAAAAGAATTAGTGATTAATATTAATTGTTTTTTTTTTTTTTTTTTTAATATTTTGATAGATCTGATTTAATATCTTCGTGATTTTGCTTTGAAAATAATGTCAAATATGGCTTTTGTGACAAAAAAAAAAAAGAAACATTCATTTCAGCTAAATTTATAATTAGTTCAATTTTTTGTGTACAAAAAAAAAAGAAAAGAAAAAAGGAGCATTTGTTTTTATATTTTAATGTATGTAAAAATGTCAAAAAATTTTTGATGAAAAAGTTTTTTTTTTGATTTATATTTTCTTGGAAATAATTATTTTTCGGCTATTATTTTTAGTTTTCTCACAAACAATTTATTATTCTAAAGAAAAAGAAATTATAGAAAATATAAATTGGAAATTATTATGCGAAATTATAGAATTTATTAATATAAAATTAATTGTAATATAGTGCAAAAAACATATAATTTTATCGAATAAATATTATTAATCTTTTTTTCTTTTTTCTTTTTTGTTAACTGAAAGTATAAATTAATTATGTACACGAGAAATAAGTGCTATTCAAGAGTTTACTCAACAAAATTTTTGCTAAAATCATCAATAAAATGATGATTGAATGATAAATAATAATTGGACAATAATAGAAGTACCATCGAAATAATCAAAACAATCGAGACAATACAACTAACTATTATAACTATAACTATTATTATTATTATTACTAATGAATGAATACAGGGGAATTGAGTAATCGGAACAATAAGTATTCTTAAATTCAAATTTGCAATTATTCAATTTGAAAACACACTGATTATTTAGTATGCATTATCAATAACTTATATATTTCAATTATAAATTGAACTGTTGGAAAAAAAATTTTTGAATGAGAAAGGAAAAGAAAAAAAAACGTAAAAATTGAATAAAATAGCTGAATCCTGATAAATAATATGAAATAATATTAGAAATAAAATAGCAATAATAGCTGCAATAATAATATTAATATTATAATAATTATTATAATAATTTAAATTATGATAATGATAATAATAATAATAAATAATTACTACTAATAATTCATTTTTAATGACGTGTAAAAATTATTCTATTATTGAAAATAGTGATTTAAAAGAAAATTTAATCTGTTAATTTCATTTTAATGATTTCACTAAACTGATAATAATGAATAATTACTATTAATAATTCAGTAAACTGAAATTTTTGACTAACTTATAAATTATCACTACTGTTAAGTATTCTAAATTTATCTACTTATTTTGCTTCACATCTAGTCAAAAATTTTTCAAAAATAAAGTTAAAATTCAAAATCTTATCTTACACCGTATTGAGGCAAAATAATTTTTACTAAAGAATTGTAGGTTAAATATTTATTTGAATGTTTATTTGAATTACTCGAATTCATAAGCTTTCTTCTTCAACATATATCCAAACAAAAATTAAAATATTTGTTTGAATACATGCTTGAATTTTTAAGTGGAAAAACCGCCATCTAAATAATATTAGTTTAAAATATGCAATGAGCATGAAAAGATTGAAATTTTCTTAGGTATTAAACTAAAGGATGGGTATGCTATCATAAATTATTATTGATGGAAATGAAAAAATAAATTTAAAAGTAGAAAATTGAAATTATTAATAAGTAAAAGTAAAAAAATCTCCAAAGCAGCAATTATTTACTCATTATATAATTTTGAAAATTTGATAAACATTTTTGATTGCTCTCAAATTATTGAATTCACTAAATTATTGAAGTTCAAATATGAGAAATTTTTGGATCAATTATTCAAATATTTCACAGCTAGCATTATTTTTTCAAATACATCTTTCTTCGTCACTTTTTAAAAAAATTGCTTATGGTTAATAAATTGCATTCCAAATAAGTTCTCTTAAAATTTTTTACTTGAAATTTTTTCGCCTTTTTTTTTGAAGAAAAATAAGGCTAACTTTTTTAGTGTTTCTTTTTAAAAAAATAATGTTAAAAAATCAGTCATCTATATTGGCAAATGTTATGGATTTTGGTTCAATATTTTTTTCTTGCTCAAAAAGTTTTATGAAATGATTTGTGTATTTAATTAAGCTAATATCAAATACATTTTTCGTAGGAA